ACCACTCAAGAAAGGTGATCATCTGGGAAGGGATCAGGCAGCTCTTCTCCAGGTTGACATTAAGGCCCAAAAGGGACACATGAGCGAGCAGGCAATTCATGTCGCGAAAGGCACAGGCCCGAGATGGGCCCGAGAAGCCAATTGTTTAGTACAGCACAACCTTCACTCTGTAGGCCTGCAGAGGAGAGAGGGCTGCCTTCACACACCGAGTGAACACCCTCGGGAAAAGTGAGACCCCGATTGGGAGTACCCAGAACTGCCAGTGATGACCCCGATAAGCAAACTTGAGAAAGCAGCTATGTTCTACCACAATAGGCACATGAGAATAAGCATCTTTCAGGTCTATAGACCTGAACTATTCTCCTCTCATGACAGCTTGAAGGACCTCTGCTGTCATGAGCTTGTGGGAGGGCAGCACCCTTAGGTACTGGTTGAGTCCCCTCATATTTAAAATGGGACAAAACCCGTCATCCTCTTTGCACGAGGAAGTAAGTCAAGTAATAGCCTCTGGGTTGTTGCAGAGGGTCCACGGCCTCGATTGCACCCTTGGCCAGGAGGGCAAAAACTTCTGATCTAGTGCTCGAGCTTTCACCGGGTCGGCAATTATAGTCATCTTGACCCAGCGTGAGATGTGAGGTCGCCGTCGGGACTGTAGTCTGTAACCATGGTTCAGAGTGGCAACTACCCATGGGTCCACGGCGTGAGCCGCCCAGTAACCGAGCTGCTGGTGGGAGAAATATCCGACGGTCGGCCTGGTGGTATCAGTGTCACCCTCTACGGCTCCTGGGGGCCGTGGGGTGGGGGTGCGGCGGCTAGAGTTCCTGGTCCAAACCTGCCCAGCTGGTTGGTGGACCGACTCATGAAAGCTCCTGTCAGGTCTGCTGAACTGCACATGGGTAACAAACCACTTGGCCAATCATGGCCCAGAGGTGGCGGCCGAATGCTGGGATCAGCTGACGGGCGACTTGGAAGCCGAGGATGTGGAGTGGGCATCGCCATGCTATGGCCTGAAAACTGTTGCCTTGTCTGTTGTGCCTGGACAGGCACTAAACTTCACTGCGCAGAACTTCCTCTGGTGACATGATGAGTGAGGCAACAGCAGGTTTGATCACTGGCATGCATTCCAAACCCGCTGCAGCTGGCTTATGCATAGCCGCCAGCACTCCGCCATCTGCGGAGAGGTGCGCAAAGACCTTTGGGTTCTGCCAGCAACCATGCAACTCCCTCAGATACTCTTCCGATGGAGGGACAGAAAAGGAAGGAGGGGCCCGTCTGCACCTAAAGAAAACACTTCCAGGGGTGGACTCCTCTGGTTGCAGGACAACCAGCTGCAGTTGTCTCAGGGCCATACGCATGACATCCTATATTGAGCCATCACCTGACCCACTAGCTGTGCTCTGAGACAAAGAAAAGGAACCAGTCTCTGAGACTTGACATGAATGTTCCTGCTCTTCACCTAAAAGGTGAGAGGCAGAGGCAGCCAAGGATAACACTTCTTCCTCTGCAGTCAACTCAGGCACGGGTGGGGAGGAGAGTTGGGTCACTGCCACTGGCTCAGCCCCCAGTTGGCGTGCCTGAAAAAGGGACTTCATCTCCGCCAATTCTGCAGACAGCTACTCCACCCTCGTGGAGAGACCCCAATCAGACTTGGCTCGCCTCTTTCTAGGAGGGGCCACAGAGACTGCAGCCTCAGTCCAGCGCTTCGGGCGCCTAGGTGGAGCCTCCTGCCTAGAAGGCGGGAGGTCACTGCCGAGCTTGGGGTGAAAACTGGGCCAGCCAAGCCACACTTGCTGCACGAGGCATGAAGCTGCAGTCATGCAGGAGTTCTCTGACAGGGCCTCCACCAGATGGTCATGTCCAAGGCAGGCAGAACACAGGTCGTGACCGTCATTCGCCTGGAGCACAACCCCACAATCTGTGCAGCAGGGAGAGCTGTCCTTGCTCCTTACTTTAGGCAGTTTACTCAAGTAAAAACCACAACTCAGCAAAGGGGCTGGTACCACCAGCTATGTCCAGGATACAGGACGAGAACAAGGACGAAAGGATAGGCTGAGAATTGGGAGAGGGGGCACACACGTTTGCCGTCACCAATTAAGGCAGAGCGACTCGGACAGGCTAACGCCGCTAGCTCAGCTGGTAAAAGAGGATAATTGGGAGAGGGGGCGTGAACGCTTGCCTTCATTAATCAAAATGAGGCCAGAACTCAGAGAGGCTAGCACCACTAGCTTAGTCCAACTGTTCATGAGGTTGGTGAAAATGATTGGGAGAGGAGGTGCGAACGCTTGCCTTCACCAATTAAAACAAGGCCAGAACTCAGAGATGCTAGCACCGCTAGCTCAGCTGGTAAAAAAGGACAATTGGAAGAGGGGGTGCAAACGCTTGCCTTCACCAATTAAAACAAGGCCAGAACTCAGAGAGGCTAGCACTGCTAGCTCAGCTGGTAAAAAAGTACAATTGGGAGAGGGGGCTCAAATGCTTGCCTTCACCAATTAAAACAATGCCAGAACTCAGAGAGGGTAGCAGCGCTAGCCCAGTCCAACCGCTTATGAGGTTGGTGAAAGTGATTAGGAGAGGGGGCGCAAACGCTAGCCTTCACCAATAGAAAACAAGGCCAGAACATAGGGAGGCTAGTACCACTAGCTCGGTCCAACCGTTTATGAGGTTGGTGAAAATGATTGGGAGATGGTGCTCAACGCTAGCCTTCACCAATAGAAAACAAGGCCAAAACTCAGAGAGGCTAGCACTGCTAGCTCAGTCCATCCGTTTATGAGATTGGTGAAAAATGATTGATAGAGGGTGCGTGAACGCTCGCCTTTACAAATTAGAAAACAAGACCAGAACACAGTTGGCTATGTAATTAACTTCGGAGCACAATCCAAACTGACCTCGCGGTTGGAAGCCTCCCAACAGAGCGGATAGCGCCGCTAACCAAGGTAAAATAGAAGTAAAAGACTACTCACCAGTGTTGAATCTCACACAGTAGTCGCCTCCAACAGAGCGGACGGAGCCGCTAACCAAGGTTAAATAGAAGTAAAAAACTACTCACCAGTGTTTAATCACACACACACAGTAGTCAGACTCTGTAAGTAGGGAGAGGGGCGAGAGCCGCCGTAGTCCCCAACGAACAGCAGAAATACCTTGAACGAAGGCTAAATCGTCTCGGCCCCTAGGAGGGCGAACACGCTGCTCCGGCCAACGGGCAGTTGGGCCTCCGACGATGGTGAAAAGGTCCAAGGGCTGAAGTCCTGGATTGAACCGCGCGCAAGAAGAAAAAAAGAAAAGAGCCGCGGATGATGCCAGGCTATATAGCCTCTGACTGGTCATCTGTGTCACACTTGTGACTTCGTTGGTATTACTACTCGAACAGCGCATGCACAAAGGTAACATTCATTGCTTTCAGCACTGCCCTCTGGCGGTCAGGAGGGATGAAATAGAACTTGACTACTTAGAGCCCACGTCGTGACCCAGGGGAGGAGGGACAGTTTTAACACGGCAAAAAATTTAATAAGTACCGATGGTCAACCAGAAGTCACTCATCGCTTTGTTCTTTGTCGTCCTGTGCACTGAAACCATGAAAGTCCTCTTCTTCAGTGTCAGAATTGGAGGCTCAAAAAAACGTTCTCACACACCAGCTCCCTCTCCCTCTCGACGTCACTCCCTCGTGTTGTCCGCATCATCCTGCAGCAGTCCTGCCAAAGTCTGTGCTGTGGTGTGCACGAGGCGTAAAATACAGTAACTAATCTGAAGAATCTGAAGAATTTAGTGCTTTTTTAAAACTTTTGCTTACTGTAAACAGGAAGCCTCATTAATGCACGTGTATCTTGGAGGATGGGTCAATGACGGTTACACTTCTGGTCACATGATGACAGAGTGGTTGGAGTTATGGTTGGAAATTTGAAACTGAGCAAGAGTCGTTCATCTGATTACCTGTGGGCATTCTCTCTTTTTCACAAACGCCTGCCCCATGAGGGACCGGGTGCTGGGAGCCACAAGCGCCTAGCTTTGTCAAAGGAAAATGTTAGTCAGTGGCAGGAAGTTAATCTCGTCATTTTTGTTTTTATTGTTTTTCAATTGTCTCATATTTAGGCCTGTCACGATAACAAATTTTGCTGGGCAATTAATTGTCTCAGTAATTATTGCAATAAATGATAATATTGTTTGAAATTTGACAATAATTTGTAATTATTGTCAAATTTAAGAAGAAATGTTGGTTAATTTTGTGTGTAGTCCTTTTTTGACCACTGGATGGCAGTATAAAACTGTTTGAACCAAAGGATGGATAGTGAGGGAGCAAGTAGCGTGTCTCTAAGAAAAATGGGAGTGAGGCCCCTTGACATGACACGGGCTGTTACTCATTCCTGTTTTTTGGTTTTCAAAATGGTGTGATTTGAGCTCTTTAGCATAGCATTTTTCACACAAAGCTTTTAATAAAAAAATCAGTAAACAAGTTCTCAGCTTCTTTATGCAGAGAAAAACAACTTTTTACATGAAGGCACGGGTTTCAACTGTGAAATTTGGAGCTTCGACAAGACAGAGGTTTTTTCCCCAAGGTCGGACTGTTAGCTTAGCTTCTCGTCTTAGCTGTTTTTAATGATCCAAAAATGCAATTTTAGACTGTTAAAACAGATTTTAAAGAGAAAGGGAGGGGTCATTGGAAAAACACCGGAGTTGAGCTTTTTGCCATCCAGTGTCTTCAGTAGAAAGAGAGAGACACGAAGAAACGATAAAGCCGATAAATGAAAATCAGGTTGATCATTTTCATTTATCGTGCTATTAATTGATTTATTGTTTATCGCGACAGGCCTACTCATATTTCTCAGCAGTGATCACTTTTTAGGTAAATTTCTCATCTCAGCCTTTCAGACATCAAAGTAAATTAAGGTTCTGTTTAAATAAATTGTTTATTTATGTGAAGGTTACGTGTTCCTTTTCCTTGTGGCTGTGCTAGATAAGGGTTATTTGCATACTAGCTCAACTATTATTATAACCATTTGATGCAGGCACAGGGAAAACAACCACGCTGATAAAGTATGCCGAGCAGCGGCCACACCTCCGCTTCCTCTACGTGGCTTTCAACAACTCCGTGGCGTGTGAGGCGCGACGCCGCTTCCCCTGCAACGTGGACTGCAAGACCGCCCACTCTTTAGCCTACAATGACGTTGGCAAGATGTAAACACTGATTAAACATTTATCAACTTGTTTAGCACTTGTCTTTCACACTTTAGCATTTTTAAAGGGCTTCTGTGATCTCCGTTGTGGCAGATATAAAAATCACCAAAAGATGACCTTTAACGTGAGTCTGTTCTCCGTCAACTGTGCTCTGCCGTCCGGACGGGGCGGCTTCACCAAAGCTAAAGTTGTATCCACAATTCTCAACGCATTCATGGCATCAGCGGACCCGACCATTAACTCCAGCCACGTCCCCGAAGACTACGTCTATCATAAGGGCCTCAGGAAAATCATAGATTCTGAAGAACAAGAGGTAAATGTTTAACTTTATTCAACGGATAAATGAGCAGCAGAAACACTTTGAGTAGTGTTTAACTGTGTTTTGTTTTCTTCTAGTGGTTTATCTGCACTGCAAATATGATCTGGAACAAAATGAAGGATGTAAAGGAGAAATCCAAACATGCCTACCTTATGCCCCACGATGGTAACTGCGAAAATTTTCCTGCGAAAATGCAGTGTGAATGCTTATTGCAAATAAATTGCAGAGAAACAGCTGAAATTAGCTAAAAAACATGCTTGAGTATAGGTACAAGCCTAAACTAGCAGGGGAAAGCAGAAAGAACACACATTTGCTGAATTGGGTTTAAAAAAGCAGAAATGAGCACAGAAAGTAGGAAGTTAACTAAAAAAGCTCAAATTAGCAGAAAAGTCGCTGAAAAGGCGGAAAGAAGCTTAAACTACCGGAAGGAATTGGAAGGAGCTCCAAAAATATGGAATTAGCTGAAAAAGCTCAATTTAGCACAAAACAGCTTATAAGTAGTTGAAATAGCAAAAAAGAACAAAGGGGAAAAAAAAGGCTGAAACTAGCAGAAAAAAACTGATAGGAGCATAAGAAGCTGAAATTAGCAGAAAGAAGTTAATTAGGCTGAAAGAAGCAGAAATGAGCACAAAAAGTAGAAATTATCTGAAACAAGCAGACATTTGCAAGAAACAGCTGAATAGTAGCTAAAAAGGCAAAAAGAAGCTTAAATTACCAGAAGGAAGTGGAGAGAACATGATTGTGCCCCATTAGGCTGAAAGAATCTAAAACGAGCACCAAAAATTGGAAATTATCTGGAAAAAAAAAAGTGCAAAAAAACAGCTGAATAGTATCTAAAGAAGCAAAAAGAAAAGCTTAAATTACCAGAAGGAAATTGAGAGAACACAATTGTGCTCAGTTAGGCTGAAAGATCAGAAATGAGCCCAAAACTGTGGAAATTATCTGAAAACTGAAATTTGCAACAATCAAAAAACAGCCAAATAGTAGCTAAAAAGCAAAAAAGAGCTGAAGTTACAGGAAGGAATAGGGTGCACATTTAGGTGAATTAGGCTTTAAAAAGTTGACATTAGTGCAACAAATATAGAATTAGCTGAAAGCTAAAATTAGCATTAACCATCTAAAGATTACCAGTAGCTGAAATAGAAAAAGCTGAAACTTGCAGAAACAAGCTGAAGTGAGCATAACAAGCTGAAATTGGCAGGAAGAAGTTAGAGGAAGCACAAAAATGTTGTAGCTGAATCTGAAAGGAGCACAAAACAGCTGAAAAACGTTGAAATTAGCCGAAAAAAAGTTTATATTTGTACAAGGAAGCTGAACCAGAACAAAATGTGAAAGGAGCAGTAAAAAGTTATAAACAGATCTAAAGATGTGAATGAGATAAAATTAGATCGATTCTTTTTCTATGAGGAAAAAGTGGCAAAAAAGGCTAAAATATTTCAAAAAGCTAAAGCTGCACCAATACCAAAAGTCATAGCAGGATTTTCCTGAAAGAGCTGAATGTTTTGATTTATGATTTGTTGAAACAGATTGAAAACTGTGGAACGTGAATCACACCAAAAAATGTACAGAAGAGAAATGCTTCAAATTAATTCAGACTGTTATGTGAAGTCAAGATGAGGGTGTTTAAGGAGCTCAAGGTTACAGGAGTCCTTGCTTTCCAGGTTACCTGAAGTTGTGGCAGCTCAGAAACCCAAAGCCGTGCCTGTCAGACCAGTATGATGCAATCTTCATAGACGAGGCTCAGGACTGCACACCTGGTACTGTATTAATCATCCATTCATGTGGAAGAGCGTTTCAGTTCCACTGAGCTTTAAAACGTTTGTCCTCCATCACAGCCATCATGGACGTGCTGCTTTCCCAGCGCTGTGGGAAAATCCTGGTTGGAGACCCCCACCAGCAGATCTACACTTTCAAAGGAGCCGTGAACGCCTTAAACACCGTTAACCACACTCACATCTTCTACCTCACACAGGTAAACACAGAACAGAAGCAGCTGCGGTCACAAAGTTCATTCAACCTTTATTTAGACAGGTAAATCCCATTGAGCCTCGAGGACTCATTTACAAGAGAGACCTGATAAAGTTCATGCTGGCATCAGATGTTTAGAAGTAAAACCAAAATAAAGATGCCTTTCAGAGTTCAGTTTTGTTTAAACTCCTTTTTTTCTGTACAAGGCTAATAAGAATCAAACTCTTCCAGCAGTTGTGCTGCGCTCAGCTCATCGTTGATGATTAATAAAACAAACTGGTTCCGCTGATGTTTCTGTCCAGAGCTTTCGATTTGGAGCAGAGATCGCCTACGTGGGTGCCACCATCCTCAGAGTTTGCAAGGGGGTTCAGAAGATTCTTGTTGGGGGAAAGCAGAAGGGTAAGTTCTGGAAAATGGTTTCTTCTTGTATCTGAGAAGTGGCTCTTTAATCCTTCACTTCTCAGCTAGCAGCGTTCACAAGTTTACAATGTTGCTTTGTGTTCCTGCTGTTTTTATGCTTTACTTTTAAAGCCTGAATTTAAACCGGGCCTTGGCATTATGTTCTTTACATGTGATATTGTTTTATGTTTGTTCATGTTGGTTAAAATCTAAATAATAAACAAAGCAAAGCACTTGCCATATTTTCCACACTATACATTATCACTCTGGAGTAAAGGTCGCATCAGTCAAAAATGCCTCATGAAGAGGAAAACAACATACCGTATTTTCTGCCGTAAACATCACTTCACCTACAAGTCCTATCATACAAGCCATATAATCATATATCATATAACCCTATAGGTTATATCAGTCCATATTTGTCTAATAAAGTGGAAAAATCCATAAATATGTCGCTTTGCCATATAGGTCACATCTGTGACTGTTGCACCAAGCAGCGAACAGAACGAATGTGGCAGACTGTGGCAAGTCGATTGTGTCATTAATAGGTGGTGAAGATTCTCCGTCATCCAGGACATGGTAAAATCAAAAAAGTTAAAGACAGAAACAATAAAGTATAATAAATAAAGTCCAGTTGTTTTTGTCTTGAACTTTTTTGAATTTGTCTCATTATAGCCACTTTTACCTATTACATGATACAACGGCATGCCTTACTACTCTGCTGCCATCAAGTGGCTGAAAATGGTAGTGTTCAATATTTTCAGTTGAAATTAATGAAAACGGTCATATCTCAGCCAAAAATTGGTTTATAAATATGGGAAAAAATCCATAAATACGTCACTTCGGCCTGTAAGTTGCAGGGCATGTAAATTATGCAAAAAAAAAAAAAAAGGCAATTTGTAGGGTGAAAAATACGGTATATGAGTTACTTCAGAGTATAAGTCACATTTATTATGCATCACTGCTGACCCCTGGGAAACGTGGGGCGATGTCATGCCAAAAATCGACTTGCGGCCGCGGGAGCGCACACAGGAGGACTCGCTGTTGCAGTTCTTTGAAATTTAATAAGATAAACACCTAAAAACAATTATTTGTTTGCTCGACATTATAGTAAAGGTGTTCTCAGTTTTAACTTTTCCTTAGTAAATGCACTTTAATGGTAAAAACTGCTTCATTTCACCTGGGCGGCGTGGCGCGGTCAGGTCGCACTGAGAACAGTCCGTCCCGGTCAGCAACTGTGCCAGGGGCCGGCACAGCGAGGCTTGTGGTCCGCGGCTCTGGGAAGTGGCGAAGCGGGGGGGCGCTGTAGAACAGAGGCAGTGGTAGAGGAATAACAGCTGTCAAAAGCCTAGAAGGCCCTCTCGCAGCTGCAAATGGTAATAATGTTTACTCTTTGGGTCATGTCAGTATGAATGACTTAATGCGTCAGTCAAAAATTGTGCCACGAATAGGGAAAATAAAAACTTAAATAAGTTGCTTCAGGCTATACATCGCAGAACTGGCCAAACTATGAAAACAACAGCGACTTATAGTCCAAAAAATAGAGTAATCATGTGTTTAAACAGCTTTTAGTGTTAACCTTGTTAAAAGACACAAGTTTTGGCATATTGTGAGCAATAATGGCTGACTTTACTGTTACCTCTTTAGATGGTGTGTGTGATGAGACGGCCAACAAGGCTCTGGAGGCGATGAAGGCAGGAGTGAGTCACAGCAAAGGAAAGATCGGCATCCTGTCCAGATGCAACACGGGTGTCTTCAAAACAGCGGTCCAGCTCACAGACGCTAACCCGCACTGCCGTATCCACTTCATCGGGGTGAGTGTAAATGTTCGTCCTCCCAGTGAAAGTCTTCACACCCCCTCCACATTTTGTCCTGTTCCAACCACAAACTTCGAAGTATTCTACTGGGATTTTAAGTGGTAGACCAACACAAAGTAGCCAAAGTTGGGAAGTGAAAGGAAAATGATGATACGTGGCTTTCAAATTGTTTTTATAAACTAGAAAGTTCCTGGAGAAACTTTGATGGGGACTGCCACGTGGTGGCCATTTTAAAATTTTGATTTGACAGTACTATGTGTTAGGGTTCACTCTCAGCTACCAATAAACCAAATTCCAGTTCAATATGGGGAAAAAAATCGAGTTAGTCATTTTTCCTTTTAATCTATGATGACCATCTTGGATTTTGATTTTGATTCAGCATTTATTGGGCATTGCTTTCAGCTATCACCACCAAATTTCAGCTTAATATCTCTTAACACTGGCTGATTTATAGTATTTTTCTTTTTTAGCTCAGGTGGCCATCTTGGATTTTTGATTTACAACCAGAGTCTCTTAAGGATTGTTTTCAACTACCAATACACCAAAATTCAGCTGAATAGCTGTAAAAACCCCTAAGTTATATCCATTTGAAATTGGCTTTGACAGCCATCTTGAATTTTTAGAGTTGAAATCAGAATGTGTTGTGCATTTGATGGGGGCCGAGATGGTGTAGAGGCAGTGCAGCCGGCTTGGGACCCGAAAGTCCCAGGTTCGATCCCCAGTCACTGCACATCACATGGCGTCTCTGGGCAGCACGTCTCATCCCCAAAATGTCCCCCGGGCGCTTTCAATAGCTGCCCACTGCACCACCTGGTGGTGGATGGGTTAAATGCAGAGACTAATTTCGCCATTGTATGGAAACATACAGTGCTGACATTGTGATGACATTATTATTATTATTGCTACCAAATTTCAGCTCAGTATTTTTTCATTAATTCAATCTTTATTTAGTTAGTCTCATTGATCCTTGATGACTCCTTTACAAGAGACCTGATTTAAACAAAGATCACAGATGAGGTACAGACAACAGTAGACTATAATAAAAAAAGCATATAAAATGAAAAGTAAATAGAAAAAATTAATTAAAAACAAAACACAAAAACAGCTACATTATAAAGTGATGTGAAATACTAAAAACAGGAACATGTCTGTGTTGGTGTTTGCATTGAACTTAGCAGTTGTTTAAAATCCCTTAGAGAGGTCAAGGTCAAGAGCTTCAGATCTTTTTGCAAGATATTCCAGGAAACAGGAGCGGAGTAGGAGAAGGCCCTTTTGCCTAGTTCAGTCCTCACTGAGGGAACACTGCAGGTAATTATGTCCTGAGAGCGCACGCTGTAGCTGCACTCACACAGTGACATGTAGGAGGAGATGTATGAAGGCAACAGACCAAGAAGTGATTTAAAGATGAAAATGTACCAGTGGGAGAGTCTGCGTGAAGTTAATGATGTCCAGTTAACCAGTGAATACAGGGTGCAGCGGTGGGTATGGTAATTACAGCCAGTTATGAATCTTAGTGCACCATGATAGACAGCATCCAACATCTGCAGAGTGCTTGCAGGAGCATTTATGTAAATAATGTCACCGTAATCAATGGAGGGAAGGAAAGTCGCAGTTACAAGGCGTTTCCTAGCATTCAGAGTTAGACGGGATCTATTTCTGAAAAAGAAACCCAATTTTAATATCAATTTATTTACCAAGTTTTTGACGTGGAGCTTAAAAGACAGATGCAAATTGACCAAGATACACAAATATTTGTAGGAATCAACAAACTCAATAGGGACACCATTTGTAGATAAAATAGAAGGAAGGACTGCTCAAACCGACCTCCTGTTTGAAAACAACATCCCTTTGGTTTTAGCAGCATTTAGCACCAGTTTGAGACGGAACAAATCTGACTGGATGATGTTGAATGCAGACTGTAAGAGCTGAAAAACCTTAGCAACTGTTCTAGCTAGACAATAAACAACTGTGTTGTTGGCATTGAGATGTAAGGATGCATCAGGAATGATCTGACCTACATTACTTATTAAGAATGTGAAGAGGGTCCTAAGACTGAGCCTTGTGATACACCATTGTTGTTGACATTTTAGATAGCTGGAAGAAGTACCATTATGTTGAACACACACACACACACACAAAGTTGAATATCTTTTAAAATAGCCAAGTTGTCTTTTTTTTTTTTTCCTTTTAGCTAAGGTGGCCATCTTGAATTTTCAATTTGCATTAGGAATGTATAGCAGCTCACTCTCAGCTACAGTCATACCAAATTTCAGCTCATTATCAAAGAATGATTGAGTTATAGTCACTTTTGAGTTTTGTAAGGTAGCTGTGGCAGCCATCTTGAACCAAAATGGCTCCAGAAGTTAATCAGTTCTTTGTTCAGGGACCTCTCCCTCTAATGTGACCTCACTGAGGCAGTTAGAGGCTGTGGAGTTCCAGTGTTTTTCAATGAGAAAAATGCCGTCTTTGTTTGCAAATTACGTCGCCATGGTAACTTGAAATGCCAGTAAAAATAATAGCACACATCACGGGGCCAAGCCGGTTATTTTGATATAAAAGTGTGGGGTACACATTGCGGTTCGGGCCGCATTAAAGTTGAAATAAGAGTAAGATCCTTTTCTTGTGGATAATAATAGATGCTGCCTTCAGGCAGTCGGTGTATATTTATATTCAGCCCTTTACTAAGTTCAACCAGTTACTAACTGCATTAAGAGGTTAACGCCCGTGTGTAATATAATCCCAGTTTTAATCTTGCTGTTTTGTTATGACTCCAGAGTTTTGTTACAGAATGACCAAACAGCATCATGAAGACCAAGGAGCATGCCAGCACATCAGATAGAAAACGTTTGAAAAGCTTAAAACAGGGTTAAGTTATAAAACAGTATTTCAGGCTTTGAATTTCTCACAGTGCTCTGTTCAATCCATCATCCAAAGTGGATAGATTATGGCTCAACTGCAGCCAAGAAGTCCCGTGGTAACTGAAGGAGCTGCAGGAAGACACAGCTCAGGCGGGACCGTCCGTTCACAAAACAACTATTAGTCAACTCTTCATTTATCTGTCCAAAAAAAGGCATAAGACACCCCGTCTTAAAGCTGCTCTTCTCAAGTCATATCAAAACTGAACTCATAAGCCTAAATGCAAAACGCTGCACATCACCCTGAACACACCATCCCCACTGTGAAACACAGCAGTGGTTGCATCATACTGCAGGGACATGGTTTATTTGGTGTGTAGTGGTGTCAGGGCCAGCTTAGCTGTACCTTGCACTACAAATTATTTAAATATAACAGGTTCTCTCTCTTTCGAGTTAAATTAAGGCCATGTGACGAGGTACTGTGAGGATTGTGTTTAAATCAGTGACCTGAGACGTCAATTTCCTTTGACCCATCAGAATAAATATGGTTATTTATTTAACAGAATCAAAATTTAACATCAAAACATGTACATGTGAGAAGCTGATCTGGTTCTGATTAATAAAACTTGGCACGTTTTACTTAATAAGACAACAAGACATTTCTGAAGGCATTTAGATTACTGGCAAAATAGAAGTGTTTTAAAGGAAGGATTGAAGAGAAAAGACGGGTGAAAGGGGGTGTCTGTTCGGACAGCAGAATGGCACGCTCCTTTCAACACCAGCTCAAAACCTCCGGTACACTTGGCGCGTCACGACTCGTTACCTTTGCAGAAATTAATCAGCTCCGGTGTCGGGTTCATTTCAACGCTACCTTCCAGCGTCTCCGGTAAGAGCGGCTGGCCATTGTCAGGAGTCGTGTCGTTTACTCCGTTCAACAAACACTCATCTCCCGGGTGGATACACAGCAAGCTGTGAGTCCGGCAGAGTTTCCACTCAGATGTGGAAGAATCCCTCAGGAGACCCACTTAAAGACCAGAAGTTCCAGGAAGTGTGGACTTTTAAAGAGTTCTCACATCCGGTCACTTCAGGACTTCCTGATTGGTTGAAACAACCAACAAGGGTGGTTCTAGTGATGTCAGAGGGTTATTACAAGTCAAGGAAGTGCAGGAATGTTTTAGGAACTTTTAGTACAGCCAGGAGAAATGTTTTGAAGAAGTGAGAGCAAGCAGGTGCCAGTGTTTCTTATTTACTGTCTGCTAGGTTTAAAAACAATACAGCCTGTTCTAAAAACTTCTTTCTGACTGTCTCTGACTTTCGACCGACATCACTACTTCTCATTCAGACAGAAAATCAAAATGCATAATTACTTTTAAATAGACATTTAACTTGATTTCTAATTTAAATGAGGATTAAAAAATCATTAATACTGTTTCACAGTTGATTTAAAATGAGTGGTTCAACATTTAGAAATGATATGAACTAAACACACTTTTGATTATCAAGATATTGTAAAATAGTAATGATAATATAAAATGAAGAGTGTTCTTTCAATTGATTACTTCAGGATACAATTAGAAAGTCTCTGGATGAGCTAATTTGTATTTCTGGATTCAAATCAATGAAATAACAGTTCCTGTCCCATGAAGGTCTTCAGAGGCAGGTTTTGGTCGGAGGCCGAGTTCACTACAAGTGATTGTAACTGTAAGTTTTCCTGCAGGATGTCCGAAACATTGGCCTCGACAAGATCATGGACATCTACAACCTGAAGACTTCAGCAGAACAAAAAGGCACATTTAAATGTAAGATTTGTTCACAGCACGGTTAAACAGATTCTGTCTACAGATAAAAACCATCAAGTTTGTCTGATGATCACATGTCTATTTTAAAAGATCAAAGTCTCAACTGATTGAGACAGTTCATCTTTCAACAAACCTGTATTTGTTTTTCAAAGTGAATTAATGAAAAGTACCTGTATTCCTTTTTATAGAGCAAAACAAAATAAAACATGTTTGTTTGTCTTAGAGAAGAAAATCATAGAAACGAGTGCTCAGTGTGTTGTAGTTACTATGGTGCTATCATGTCTCAACTATAGGGGAAGCCAGAGAGCTAAACCTGTCAGACTTGAATGTGGTTTTAACACATTGATGGTTCCTCCTGTTCAAGTGGAGCAGAAACACTGATAAGACCATCTGCTAATATGTTTTTAACTCACAACTAAAGTCATCCAGGGCACTGGTCAGCAAACAAAACTAGTCTAAATTCTGTTAAAAACTGATCAATATTCAGTATTCTCTTTATATAGTCTAATTACTGTCAGTTTAATATAAACTAGAGGAATTGCATTTCCTGCGAAAATGCAGTGTGAATGCTTATTACTGAAGAACCTGCTGTAAAACAGCTGAAATGAGCTAAAGAATATGCTGAGATGTAGCTGAAATGGAATAACAAGTCTAAAGTAGTAGAAGAAAGCAGAAAGTACACGTTTGCTGAATTAGGTTTAAATAAGTAGAAATGAGCACAAAAATGAGGAAATCAGCTAAAAAATGCTAAAATTAGCAAAGAAACATCTAAAACGTAGTTGAAAAGGAAGAAAGAAGCTTAACCTACGAGAAAGAAGTGGAAAGAGCTGAAATGAGCTAAAAAATGTGGGATTAGCTGAAAAAGCTAATTTGCATAAGAGCTAAATAGTAGCTGAAATAGCTTAAACTAGCTGCAAAAAGGTGACAGGAGCATAACAGAACAAAGTTTATTAGGCTGAAAGTAGTAGAAATGACAGAGTTAAACTTGAATTAATCTGAAAACAGCTGAAATTAACTAAAAATTTCTAAAAAAAAAAAAAAAAAAAAAAAAAAAAAAGCTGAAAAGGTAGAACAAGCTTAAATTAGCATAAGACAGCAGAAAGCACACAAGGTTGCCCAGTTAGATTGAAAGAAGCAAAAATGAGCAAAGAACAGCTAAAAGTAGCTAAAAAAAAAAGTCAGAAAGAAGCTTAATTACAAGAAAAAAGTTGAGAGTATATTTTTGTTGAATTAAGCTGAAAAAGTGAAAATGAGTGCAAAAAACATGGAATTAGCTGAAAATGTTAAAATTAGCACAAAAACAGCTATATAGTAGCTGAAATTGTAGATAAAGCTTAAACTTGCAGAAATAAGCCCAAAGGAGCAAACAAGCTGAAATTAGCAGAAAGAAGTTAGAAGAAGCTCAAAAATGTTTGTTAGCAGAAGAATCTGAAAGGAACCCAAAACAGCTAAAATTTGCTGGAAAAAAGTTTAAATTTGCAAAAGGAAGCTGAAAGAAGCTGAAGCAGAACAAAATGTGAAAGGAAAAGTAAAAGGTTATAAACCGATCTGAAGGATGTAAAATGAGCTCAACTTATTTTCTATGAGAAAAAAAAAGTGGCAGAAATGGCTAAATATTTCAAAAAGCTAAAGTTGCACCAATACCAAAAGTCATAGCAGGATTGTCCTGAAAAAGCTGAACGTTTTGATATTTGTTGAAATGGATGAAAACTGAAAAAAGAATCATACCAAAAAAACGTACAGAAGAAAGATGTATCACAACAGAGTGGATGCTTCATAAACAGTCACACAATGACACGTATAGCATTGAATCTTCACTTTGATGCAGTCTCCCATCCTGAGCAGCATGCTGGTAACAGTGGGAAGGAATGACACCCTTTTAACGGGAGGAAACCTGAACCAGGCTCAGGATGGGCGGGGGTTCAAATGTTTGCCATCAGTGTTAAATTGTATCTGCTCTGCCCAGCAGCCATCAAAGACCCCCTGATTCGGTCTTTTTTGAAGAAAGAAGACGATGCTTTCATGGCCTTTAGGAAATACGTGGAACAAACTGAAGACAAGGAGCTGGAGGGGAAAGTACACACTGTGATGAAATACCAAAACCGCATCCCTGAACTGGTGACACGGCTGAACGGTTGCTCTGAAAGCAACTTCCACAATGCAGGTACGTGTCCGAACACACGACATCCAACGGAACATTTGAGACTTTATCTTCAAACACTCCTACATCTGTCATGTCCCAAACAACAGAAATAAATGAAAGTTAAAAATCAAAGAACTGAAAGAAGTTTTTGAAAATAAATCTGCTATCATGTGATCAGACAATGAAAGGCGATGTTGTGGAAAAGGGAAGTAGGCTGATGACCTCGCTGATCTGCTCGTGGGAGTTAGAAGTACAGGGTGCTTACGTTTTAGTTCTACTGAAACATGAAGTCGTTTTAAGTGTAAGCTTTATATAAGTTTTATATTTGTGCCCTTTTTTCTTTCCAGACTTCATAGTTGGGACCGTCCACAAGGCTAAAGGTCTGGAGTTTGACACCGTGATCATTAACGATGACTTTGCCAGCGTGCCCGCATCCGGACACAACCTCCGCTTTATTCAGGAGTTCTCATTTTGTGTGTTTTCATCATTTCCCTTCATTTATCAAGCATCATCAAGCTTTCTGGAGCTCACGACTGATCTTCTGTTTTTCTGTGTTTTTCCTGGAAAGCTAAAATTGCAGATGACGAATGGAACCTGCTGTACGTGGCGGTGACTCGGGCCAGAACCTCCCTGGTTGCTTCGAAAACCATCTACCGAATCCTCTCGGTGGCTAAGGTATAACACCTAGTTCTTGTTTGAACTGTACAAGTTCAAGTACAAGTGCCAAAAAGAGGAAACCCTGCTATCATAATCCACTAATGTATAAATCCACATCTCCAGAGACAACACGGACAGGCACAACATTTTCCACTCCCCCCAGGAATCCATGACGTACCCAACCTCGTGCGTCTGTCCGAGGCATGAGGGTTCTCCAGCGCCCTGTCGCTCGGTTGAAAAAAATATTTATCAATTGCGTTGAAAGTCCAGCTGGCCAAATCCATAACAGTAAATTATGATTCGGAAGATGTAGGAAGGCAGGAGAGGGAAGAAAGGGCGTCCGTCTTGCTCAAGGGCGAGTGAGCAGCAACACCAATCTATAGCAACGACCCGGACGAGCAAATACCATGTTAACCTTTGACCTTGATTTATGATCTTGACCTTGGAGCTGAGGTGATTAGAAGTATACAGGGCACTCCATCTAGTGATGGACTGCTGTTTCATGATGATAGATTGTTTCGGATGGGTGTGTTTTGCACATGTTAAAGACCTACTTTTGAGATTCCAACAGGAGGTTGGTTTGAAACACAGCAGTGAAGACTGCCTATGGGACAGATCTGGTTGGCAGGCCGTAGACTGAGGAAGTCCTCTGGATGGGGGACGAAACATTTATCATTTAAAGAAGCTGGTCCAGATGACATTTAACCTTATTTGTTGTAAAATGAGGTATTTTAAAAGCTGTTGATGCATCAGATCATGAAGTGAAGAACTATAATTAAAAGAGAGTTCAGCCAAGATTCCCAGCTCTTTGAATAAACGCAGTTGTGTAAAGGATCTGAGAGGACAAAAGTAATCTAATGTCAGAGGGTTTAAAACTTGTCTTTTATTTATGTGTCCACAAGTAATGCATTAATTTGGCTTTCAGTGTGGAGAAGTAAAAACCGTTGCTGCAGGATAGGAATGATGCATTATCACTTGTTAAAATCGTATTTACTTCCCTGAAAGAAAGACAAATGTTTGAGCTCATCAGGATCATCAACCTCAGAGTTTGTGAGGCTACAGAACAGAAACGTTTTTTGTAAACTGCTTTTGGACAGAGCCTAGATAAAATACAGCTGCAGAAACTACATAACATCTGGTGCAAATAAACAAAAGTGTTGCGTTTTGAACAAAACTGAAAAGCTCCAGCTGTTTCTTCATCAGATTCAGTCTTGGTTGGGGGGAGGGCGTCTAGTCTGCCCCCTTTTTGTCCCTCGTTGCAGAGCTAACGGGGGGAATTGGAAATGCTGTCCATCTGTCCATGTTGTAAGCATGAACCTGTAGAGATGCACCTGTAGTTGTGTAAACCAGCCACCGCAGTCATTTGATGGTAACTATGCTTTCTAGTTTTATATTGTTTAAAACTATAGTTTCCTTAAGTGACTGGGGTGGCCCAAGATTAATCTATGGTGGGCATGGCCACTATTAGCCACCCCCTGGCTCTGCTGTTGGTGGTCATAGATAAATTGCTCTCCACTCACCAGGAGTCGTCGCTCTTCACTCGGACAAGCAAAAATAATCTACCTGTGTGTGGCAGGTAGTTTTGTAACTCCTACACACTTGAACATTTTACAGCACAAACATTAAGGTTTACTTCATTCCCTGTTCAAGTCCAGAAAAACACTCATCTCCAAAACTACAAACATTCACTATTCAAATCCCTCAGCGATGGAAGACATGGCGTACTGCTTGTAACTCTTAGGTTTTATGTTTCAGGGCGTAATAATCACCACTTGGTCTGTACCAGGTTTTCAAATTGTTTATATCCGAACTGGAAGTGTAGAAAAAAAACACAGTTTCTTCTCTTTGAAAAATCATGGCAGTTTGATTTAGGGTTGTAGTTGCCTCTGAATGAAGATTTCTGAAACAATGACCTTTGAATAGGACATATTTACCCATAATGCACAGCACCATGTTTGTCAACAACTAAACTTTTTTTTTATTACTATTCTGTTTATTTATTAAATATTAATAACAATCAACAAAGTCCATGCTCAATAATCCAGGTATACAATCCAACAATGTTCACTCAGGTCCATCTGGACAGAAGGTGAAAAGTTTCAGCACCAAAAAAAAAAAAAAAAAGAAACTGTCCAGATGACCTGACTGAAAATTGTTGGATATTAATAACAATCTAAGGATTTTTGGGCTGTGCCCCCTAAATATCCTAAAAACGCCCATGTGTTGCAGGACTTTTATCAGCAGGGTTCGAAGGTGATTTATTCAGGCCTAGGCCTGTCACGATAAACAATAAATCAATTAATCAATTAATCACATGATAAATTATAATTATCTACCTCATTTTCATTTACCGGCTTTATCGTTTCTTCGTGTCTCTCTCTTTCCGAAGACACTGGATGACAAAAGGCTCAACTCCGATGCTCTTCCCTGACCCCTCCCTTTCTCTTTAAAATCTTTTTTAATTGTCCAAAATCACGTTTTTGGATCGTTAAAACTAAAAGCAGCTTAGCTGAGAAGCTAAGCTACGAGCTAAGCTAACAGGCCGACCTCGGTGAAAAAAACCTCTGTCTTGTCCAAGCTCCAAAATTCACGGTTGAAACCCGTGCCTTCGTCTAAAAAGTTGTTTTTCTCTGCAAAAAGAAGCTGAGAACTTGTTTACTGATTGTTTATTAAAAGCTTTGTGTGAAAATGCTACACTAAAGCGCTCAAACCACACCGAGCATCCGCCATTTTTAGAACCGACGAGAGACAGCCCATGTCACGTCAAGGGGCCTCCCTCTCGTTTTTCTTAGAGACGCTGCTCGCTCCCTCACTATCCATCCTTCAGTTCAGTCTTATATTGCCATCCAGTGGTTGAAAAAAGGTACTATTGTACATGCAAAACAAATTAACAAACATTCCTCCTTAAATTTGACAATAATTACAAATTATTGTCAAATTACAAACAATATTATCGTTTATCGCAATAATCTCGGAGACAACTAAACGTCCAGCAAAATTTGTTATCGTGACAGGCCTATTCAGGCCAGAGATTAAAACAAAACGTTACAATCGTTTTATCTAACAGTAAAAATTAAAAAAAAAATTACATTAAGGTCCAATATTAGAGTTTAAATACGAGTGAACTCAGTTTTTACAAACACAACACAGTTAAAACAATATCTTGCCTTGTTAAAAGCACAAACAAGATTTAGCATATCTTGTTCCATGTCTTCATTTTAATGCTATTGTTTTAATTTTTTAAGGTATATTCTTACTGCTTTTTATTTCTTAGCGTTACCATTAGTGTTAAGCACTTTGATAACAGTCTATCTGTTTTAAATTGTGCTCTATAAATAAATATGACTTGACTTGACAAACACAAAATTTAGTGCGGTTAAAGAAAGTTAGGTTGTATCTAATGAGTGTAACAAATACAGTTTGCTTTTTATTATTGCTTAAATAAGCAGTTTATCATTTTGATAATCGATATCACTTCTCACTGTCTGCAAGCCTCTGCCGAGAGCACAAACTAAACTATAGCATCGGCCAAACTCTTCATACCAACAGTGAAAAAGGCAGATGTGTTGGAGCCTGAGTCAGTACTAAAGTGTAGACCAGAGAGAGAATGTGAGGCCATCTGTCTCGCAGCTGAAACAGGAAACGGCTTATCTACAACAGAATGGCTGAAAAACTAAAGCACATAATTATTTATTCTGAAATGTCAAATCTGACAACCATCTTTATATGTTTATAGTTACAAAACCCTCTTATTTACCATCAAACGAGAGCAAATCTTGCCTTGTTCTGTGAACAGTTTAATTCCTACTTACTGCAGATTGTTTAATTTAAATGTTTCTGTTAGTAATAAAATCTGCACATGAAGCTGGAGCAGATATCAACTGTGACATCTTGGGTGGTACTCCGCTCAGCTGCGAGGTCTCCATTTAACAGCACTTGTTCTGTCTGCACCCAACTTGAGTCCAAAGAAGGGGTTCTGTGGAAATGTTCTGTTTGAGTCGGCTGCTTTCTGGCGAACAGACGGCCTCAGATGGAGGGAGTCGGTGAACCGCTGCGGCAAGGACGCATACTGAACACAGCTGGAATCTGGAAACAGCTCTTCTTCTAAAGCAGTAGCTGCAGAGCAATGGGATTAAAACGGCAAAAGTGTTTACATCGAGATGCCTTTCACCTAAAGTTTTAGAATAAGATCGTCTTATATTGAGAAATGATAAAGAAGAAGTCGCTTTGGTCAAAATTTTAAAATAAGCTTAACTCTGAATGTGTGTTTATGAATGATTGTTCCCACCACGTCACATGTTTAGCTCTGTTTGTAAAGCTGAGTGAGTTAGAGGCATTTTGTGTTTTTCTATGATCCGTTGACTGTAGCAGCTAGGGGTGGGCGATATGGCTCAAATATAATATTGTGATATTTCAGAGCATTCTGGCGATAATAAATTTCAAGATATAGCAAAAAAAAAATTATTTTTTTTATCATAGTTATTCATTTGACAAAGTTAACATGTTGCTTTGCAGTGTTATATAAAAACAAAAAAAACCCAACAAGGGTTAATTTTACTGAAATTACTTTATTTAGTAAAGTATTCAGTCTCAAAGTATAAAAAGAAGAATTATATGTTATTTAGATTGAAAAAGTCTGCACAAAATGTAATTTAACAAAATCCATCACAAAAACTAAAGTGCAGGTGCAGTTTCCCAAAATAACTGAATAAAATGAAGCTTAAGATCTGTTGAGCATAAATGTAACATACAATAAAATATATGTTGCCTTTAAATGAGCTATAACTTCCAGAACCTGACGGAGTCCAGCTGACCCTGAAGCTCGTGGTGTTTCAGTTTCCTCAGTTCCTGCATGAATGATCCATTTCTCTGATGCTGTCTTTCATCACCTGACTCTGTTCTTGCTCCATGGACCGACTGTGCAACTCAAGACACAGCTGAGCTGCACGTTGTTTGTTTTTAGCTTTATAGCTAGCTAGTATTGCGCGCAGATAATTAGCGTTACGCCAGTACCGACAGGTGGGGGTGCGCAGTTTGGTTCGGTAGTTTGGTGCGCTCGGTTCTGTTAACGGGGCGGGGCGCCCTGCTTGTATAATGGTAGGGGAAACACTGACGTACTTGCATCATGAAATTAGCATATCATGATATAATTTATTTTCCCGGGCAAGTTTTTTTTATCGGTATTATCGTGAACGATATATGGCCCAGCCCTACTAAGTGAAGTACTGACTTCCCATTTTGCGTTCTAGTTTTTGTTTTTGCTTAAAAGTTTAGTTTCCTCAAATGGTTGGGGTGGCCTAAGTTTAATCTCTGGTGGCCATGGCCACCTTTTGCCACCCCTTGGCTCCTCCTCTGCACATGATAAAGTTGCTCCTCAATTCCAGTCCAGAAAAACTCTCATCTGGAAAAACTACAAACATTCACTGTTCAAATCCCTCATTGATGGTGGACATTGCTGTGCCACTTGTTTGTTAGTAACCAGTAAAACTAAATTGTCTCTTCTTATTCACGTTCCTGTTTTTGCAGGAATACTTCCTCAAGTCTCAGATGCCCGTTTCCTTGGAGGCGGGCGGTGATCCTCTTCCATGCTCCATCCCAAACTGTCCCAACTGCGTCACACCGGGCTCGGCTTTCATCATGTCCAGACAAAGCAAGCAATGTGTAAGACCACATCTAGTCCTTTTGCTATATAATGAAATTACACTAAGGCTTCTAAAAATATGAGTGTCCTTGTTTTTGTTTTTGTCCAGTCCGATTGTGAGACTCACAGCGGTCCGCTGTGTGAGAGGTGTGTGTGGACGCGCAGCGGGCACGTGGCCTTCCTCATGACGGACGACGTCTTCTCAATGGCTGAAATCCCACAGCATCTCAGGCCGCCCATCCACCACCCGTTTTTCATGGCACTTTTTTTCTAACGGGGGAAAAAAAAGGTTCTGGAATAAAAACTACTGTGGCGTTAACTTCAAAAAGCTGACAGGATGCGAAGGACTTGTATAAATGCTGAGTCGCCTAAAACACAGAACCAGAGAACACACAGAGTTGTTTGTACTAGTTTTGTTAGAGATGAGGATCTTTTTAAATATATTTTTGTTTGGTTTTTTTAACCTTCTTGTATGACTCATACCTGAAAAATATAATTTCTGTACATTTTCTCAATGTTTAGAACCATCTTTCTAAAAAAAAAAAAAATCTTTTTCACATATCCTGATGCATGCTCGATAATCCAGGTAAATAAATCTAACAAGATTGAGGCAGGTCCTCTGGACGGATTCTTCTTGAAACGTTTCGTCTTTTATCCAAAAGACTTCTTCGGTCTGAGGAGCTGCAACAAACTCAGTCTTATAAAAAGCACCTTCTCATAGTGGATCAACCAGTTTTCTGGTGACATCCAGAACTAGCTGTTCACATGATAAAGGAGGACCATCAGCCTAACGAACGATCGTTGGTGCCCTGATGGCTGCTTGCTATTCACAGGGGGCTGAATGATACTAGAAATAACAGCATTGTAAGAGGGAGACAGTTGAACACGGAGGCCTCCGCCCCTGTTTAATGATGGACAAGTTCTCCACAAAGATGGCCTCCTTCACTCCTCTCTCAAACCATTAATTCAACCTTTATTTAGACAGGTTAATCCCATTGAGCCTCGAGGACTCATTTACAAGAGAGACCTGATTTCAACAAAGAATGATGACGACAATGGACAATCATAAAAGAGGCATACAGAAATTTTTTTTTAAACAATTTTAAATAAGATGGCAAAAATAGTTAGATCATAAGGCGAATGTAGAAAACTAAAAACAGGAACATGTCTGCGTTGGTTTTGCCAGGAGTCCAACAGATTCTTAAAGCCACTTAGAGAGGTCAAGGTCGAGAGCTTCAGATCTTTTTGTAGGATATTCCAGGAAACAGGAGCGGAGTAGGAGAAGGTCCTTTCAGTCCGCACTGAGGGAACACTGCAGGTAATAATGTCCTGAGAGCGCACGCTGTAGCCGCACTCACACAGAGACATGAAGGACATGGATGTGAACATCTTCACCCCTGACAGGGACTGCTGGCCTGGAGATGTTCTTTGATGTTAGACCATTCATTTGGCCAGTGGCTGTTTACTTTACCAGATGAATAATGTTGGAGAAAAATTCTCGTATCTTACTCAAAAGGAGCCACACTCAACAACAGGACAAAATTTTTAACCAGTATTTTACTTGCAAGGTCATATGTTCAGGACAGGTCACGTAGATGTGCAGGGAGTACACGCATGAAGACCAGTCATGAGAATCTGCCCCGAGCCGTGTGTGAAGCTTGTTCTTATACTCTTACCAGTTCAGCCATGCTCACAGACTCGGAGGACTTGGCGCGACAGCTGCACGTTGCAGCCTCACCCAGCTCCTCATGCAGCTTGATGTCCCAAACCTGCATACTCCAATGAGCTGAAGCAACTTTGTAAAAAAAAGAGTGGGCCTAAGTGGATAAAACAACTATTTCAAGTTGTTGGTGCTTCTACAAACTGGTCAGACTTTGTTTTTCCACACCGTTTCCCACTTTGACTTAATTTTTTGTGTAATGGTCTGCTATGCATTATTTGAAGTAGAGTTCACATATTTTAAAACCTGGTAAAGACTAGGTCTCTTTAATGTCTTGGAATGTAAAAACCTCGATTTGGAAAAGTGGACTTTCTTTTTGCCGTGACTGTAAAAAGTGTCGGCAACATTTCAACCAGAACGATCCTGTTAGGAGAAGTCACCACATACCTGGTCACTTTTATTGGTTCCACATAAACGATGACGACCTCTGGCACAACGGGGAGTAATTCAGGAAGCAATGTCACAAAATAATGATTCACAACTCATGACACCATCTGTTCTGTGGGGGGGGGGGGGATAAGGTCTGTTTGGAAGGTCCTATATCCAGGATATGAGGTGATGATTCACTTTTCTATTATTGCTGTTCTATCATCCTTATATTGGTATCCATTAATAAAATTGATACTTTTTTATGGCTGGATAGCAGAAGTGCAGTTTTTCTAACAATAAAAAAAAACAATTATTTAACACACACACACACCCCCTCCCCCCCTCCATTGATATATTTATTTCTATAGCACATTTGAAAAACAACTGCTGGCCAAAGTGCTGTCCACAAAGACTGGTTATACAGCAATAGTGTAAAAAAAAGTAAAATACAAAATAAAACTTAAATGGAGCTAAACAAATGTCCTCTCATGCTGGATTAAAAGCCAGAGTACAGATGTGTTTTTGATGAGGCCTTAAAAACATCAGGAATTGAAACGTGTGTGATCAGAAGAGGCAGCTAATTCCACAGTTTAGGACCTACAATTGAAAAGACCTTATCACCTCTGTGGACCAGCCTGGACTTCAGGACAACTAAAGACCCGATCACCTCTGTGGACCAGCCTGGACTTCAGGACAACTAAAGACCTGATCACCTCTGTGGACCAGCCTGGACAACTAAAGACCCGATCACCTCTGGGGACCAGCCTGGACCTCAG